GCTTAGCAGAAAGTGGAGGAATGTTCTTGCAACCCAGCTGGAAAGGAAGCAAAGAAGGATCAGGGTGAACCGCTGCAGGGCAGACCACAGAGTCACAAACCTTTCATCTCCCTGCCACCACCGCCGCCACCAGACACACCTGGAAGATGCCCCTTTCTGAGAAGACCCAATTCTGAACTCACGGTGACATCTTCATGGCATCATCTTGTTTAGTTCCTAACTCGTCCCTTACCATCAGTCCCATTTTATAGATGAGGAAGCTGAGGCTTGGAGAGCTGGAATTATTTACGGAAGGTCACACAGTGGTGGAGCAAGAATTGAAACCCAGACCTAGCTTGCTCCAAAGGCTGTACTTTTTTTTTTCTTGAGACAGAGTCTCAGTCTGTCACCCAGCCTGGAGTGCAATGGTGCAGACATAGCTCACTGCAGCCTTAACCTCCCTAGGCTCAGGTGATCCTCCCACCACAGCCTCCCAAGTAGCTGGGACCACAGGTGTGCGCCACCTTGCCTGGGTAATTTTGTATTTTTTGTAGAGAGAGGGTTTCGTCATGTTGGCCAGACCAGGCTGGACTTGAACTCCTGGGATCATACCGTATGCCTGCCTCGGCCTCCCAAAATGTTGGGATTACAGGCAGGAGCGGCTGTGCCCAGCCAAAAGTCTCAACTTCTAAACCATCCTAAACTGCCTCTCAAGGTCTCTTCCTCATCCACTGGCCTCCTCCTTCCCTGTTAGAAGCTCAGTGCTCAGTTGCATCTGACCTACTCTAGGGACGGTTCCTGTCAGCAGCAGGTAATAGACATGCTGGCATCAGTCCCTACGGGCTCCAGATTTTCCGGGAGGACTCTGGAATCTGAAATCTGACATTTGCTTTTCAATGACATCCTGGGAGGCTGTCACCTGCTTTTAGGGGCTCCTTTTTGCCCTCTGTGGCTATCCAGCATTCACAGGGGTGAGTTTAGGGTCTGGATTTTCAGGTTTAGGGCTGCAACTCCAAGGCCCTTTGCATGCACCTGCACCTCACCTTTGAGGGCACCTGAGAGCAAGGCTGTGCCTCCCCTGAGCCTCCTCTGGAGTCAGCCTCCCTGCCACCTTCCTGTCTCTACCCCAGGGGCCTTCTTTCGGCTCCCCGAAGCCAATGTCCCTCCCGCCTCAGTACTTTCACTCTTCCAACTCCCTCCACCTGGGTGCCTGTCCTCCTCAGGCAGCACCTTCCCACCTGGGATCTTGGCTCAGACTTCAACCCCCACAGGGCCTTCCCTGCCCCTAAATGAAGCAGCCCCTGCCCCAGGCTCTGCTCCTGCCCAGGGACTCTGCCCCACATTGCCTGTTCACTTCCTCACCACACCTGCCTTTCTATTGATTGATCTGTTGGCTTGTGTAGCGTTCCCCGACCAGGAAGTGGTCTCCCTGAGAGCAGGGGCTCTGTGCGATTTGTTCACCACGCCACCCTGGCATGAACTACCGCTGAGCAACCAAGAGGCTGGAACCATGACCATCAGATAGTTGGCACCCAACAGAATTGTTTGACAGAAGTGAGAAGAGATGGACAAGGCTTCCTGGAGACATCAAGGTAAAGGAATGGAAAGGAAAGTTGTGACCTAGTCTGGTCTTGGGTTTTGATTCAGAGGGATACAGAATTGCTCCCGCTTCTGATCACACACAAAGTTCTCCTATGTTCCTGCCTTGAAATTGCAGTAGGTCCTCATTCAACATCATGGAGAGCTTATTGGAAACTGCAACTTCAAGCAAAATGACTTGCCATATAACAAAACCAATTTTACCATAGGCTAATGGAGATAAACAAGACTTAAGGCCAGGCACAGTGACTCATGCCTGCAATCCCAGCACCTTGGGAGGCCTAAGTGGGAGGACTGCTTCAGGCCAGGAGTTCAAGACCAGCCTGAGTAACATAGTGAGAACTCATCTCTACAAAAAAATACAAAAAAAAAATTCGCCAGGCATGGTGGTGTATGTCTGTAGTCCCAGCTCCTGGGACTGAGACTGAGGCGGGAGGATGACTTGAGCCCAGGAATCTGAGGCTGCAGCGAACAATGATTGTGCCAGTGCACTCCAGCCTGGGTGACAGAGTGAGACCCCGTCTCTTAAAGAAACAAACGAGTTAAGCTCCTACAGCATACAGTGCATATGGTACGTCGTTGCCTTTAAAGTCAGTTTCCAAGAACCTATTGATGATGCTAGGTGAGGACCTACTGCAGAAGGGCATTTCAAATTGTACCAGCAGGGAAAGCGCTACTCTCACCCTCCTGCTGCTCAACCTGGTGGTGAAAGCTGCCAGGACACCTGGTTGCCCACATTTACCCTGGCCACCAATCTTGGTCTCCTCCCACTCACCTGCCTGCCGTTGCTTTATTGAAAGTGCCTCTGTTGTCCTCTTCCAGGTTCTGCCACATTCTTTGAGTCACCGTCTGTGAAAAGAACACAGCTCTGTTGGGGCAGATGTATCTATTCCTGCTCTAATGCCCCACATGGCTCACCAGTGACTGCCAACTGAAGCCTGGTGACCTGGCCCTCTCCTCCCTCCCCCAGCTGAGGTCACTCAGTCCCCACCTGCGGTGCCTCCTCTCCCTCCCCAGGCCCCCCAGCTGGTGTCACCAGCTCTGTCTATGTTTCTGGCCTCACCTCCCACCACCTCCACGGCTCACCACACACTCCAGCTTTGGGGATGGCCAAATTGCTTCCAACCTCAAGAGCTTCACACACGCCATTCTGCCGCCCACTATTTCTTATTCTTTAGGCTGAGCTTTCATGTCCCCTCCTTGGGAAGCCTTTCCTCACAACCTGGTCTAAGGTGTCCTCATGGCTTCCAGCATGTGATATCAGGAAGGCTTGTCACTATTAGATTGTAGAGGAACGAATGGATGAAAGAGCAGGTAGATAGATGAAAGAATAGATGGATATGTGAATGGATGAGTGAGTGCATGGATGGATGAATGGGTGGGCGGATGGATGGATGGATGGATGGATGGATGGATGGAAGGATGGATGGTGGGTAGACGGGTGGGTAGATGGCTGGAGGGATGACTGGATGGAGGAAATAATAGATGGAGAGATGGATGGATGGATGGATGGATGGATGATTAGATGGATGAATGGAAGAGTGGTATCAGCCATGCTTTCCAGTTCTCTGAACGAAAGTAGCAGAGGCTTAAATATGAGCAGTCCCAGGCTCTGCTCTTCAGCACGAGGTCATGTTTATCATGAGTCTCTCTGTGACTCACACCTCCCTGCCCACCATCAGACCACAGGTCTATTTTATTTCTTAAACCCAGGTCCCATTTTGTTCCCTATATCTCAGCCCTGGGCTTTTATTATTTTTCTTCACATAAGAAACATTCACGGCCTTTTTTTTTTTGTGCCCTTTGCAAGAAAGAACAGTTTCTTCTTTTACCTGGATATTCTTTGTAAAGTTTGTGTCGTACTTAAAAGTTTATTAGTAAATGAGATTCGAGCCATCTGGAAAACAAGGGAGAGGAAGAAACTTCTTTAGGAGTTTAGAAGGCCAAAACTGTTTTCATAATAATGTTGAGGAATTACTTGTGTTTTTCCTCTCACCACCTCACTAGTGTACAATGGAATCAGAGGCTACACAGGCATTTTTAATGTCTCAGCTCTAGTTTCTAATATGATAATATCCAGAGCCATCAACCCATAAAGGAAAGCCCTGTGAGGATATTGAGGAATTACTTGTGTTTTTCACTCTCACCACCTCACTAGTGTACAATGGAATCAGAGGCTACATGAGCATTTTTAATGTCTCAGCTCTAGTTTCTAATATGATAATATCCAGAGCCATCAACCCATAAAGGAAAGCCCTGTGAGATCTCCTTAACATCTTTGAGGGTAAAGCAGTCTTGAGAGCAAAAACTTTCAGAACCACTGTCTTTGTTTTTTTTTTTTTTTTTTCCTACTTTTTTACGAAGTCTCACTCTGTTTCTCTGGCTGGAGTGCAATGGCATGATCTCAGCTCACTGCAACCTCTGCCTCCCGAGTTCAAGCAATTCTCCTGCTTCAGCCTCCCAAGTAGCTGGGATTATAGGCATGTGCCACCATGCCCAGCCAATTTTTGTATTTTTAGTAGAGACGGGGTTTTGCCATGTTGGCCAGGCTAGTCTTGAACTGCTGACCTCAGGTGATCCACCCGCCTTAGCCTCCCAAAGTGCTAGGATTATAGGCGTGAGCTGCCGCGCCCGGCCAAAACCACTGTCTTAACAGATGAACTGGAAGCCAAATTTCAACACACTGTTTAGTAAATGTCATTATAAAATATGTTCACAGGGGAAGAGATGGCACTCTTTTGACTCTGTCCAAGAGACACTCTGATGTCATTACTGCAAATGACAAAGTAGCTTGAGTATGAATCCTCACTCATCCTCTGAGCCTCAGTTTCCTCACCTAAAAATAGGCATAAAATTAGTACTTCTTAAAGTTACTGTGAGAATTAAAAGAAACAATTTCATTTAAAACATATCTATGCAGTATTAGGAGGAGCCATATGAAAATGCTATCATTGTGCGTAAAAAGTGGTCAACCGCTGACAATTTCATACATGTCCCATGACTAGCCGTGAGTCCCCACTTCATAACTCCTGCTGTTGTATATCGCTGGCCTCCACCTCTTCCTCGGCCCCCCAAGCCATGGTAGCAGGAAAGCATTTGCCGACAGGAATGTGACCAGGACAGGTGGATGTTTGAATGTGGCGTCTCTCCCAAATTGAGCTCATTTCTCCATCCTGGTGATCAGCGCTGCCTTCTCTGCTATAAGGTCAATCAAGCACATGTGCGTGGTAGCCAGACATTTTCCTTTTCTTTTGTTTTGTGGCCATACTAAAAATCATCAGGGTGTTTGGGACCAGCACGGACATTGATTGGTCAAGGTGCTAATGCTCCATGGAACCGCTCAGTGGGTCAGTATCTGCTGATCAAAAACTGCAGCAATAACTATTTTCCAAAGCAAATGGCTAGGGTTTTTGCAGGCTGGGGGAGCTCCCGGAAACTTTCCTGCTCCCCCTTTACCTGGGGATGAATTCTGGCCCATAACACCACAAGGAGACAGAGGTAAATGGGGACCCTGGACCCCCTCCTCAGGCCAAATATAATCGCTTATAATTTGTTACCAAAAGTGACTACTCATCACTTTTCTCAAATTTCCTCCCACTCAAGGCTAGATGAGCCCCACTTCATTCTTCTGAAGCAGTGTCTTGGGCAGGACAAGGAGGGGCCAGCCCCCACAACTCAGCTTCTGTGTGACCTCAAACCTACGCAGAAAAACGCGCCGATTTTCCCTGACCCGACTCTCTGAAAAACCAGATTTACTATACATGTCAGTGTTCATTTTCCTCTTGCATAAAACATGCACCCCTCAAATGCCTGGTTCCAGCTGCCGGATGGTCAAACTTGAAGGACTATGGGTACCCACTAGAAGCCTCTCTTAGGGGAGGATGGCATCTTAGGTGTGGGCACAGGCTCTGTCACTTACTCTCAGATGGTCCAGAAAAATACACATGTAGATTTATAAGTGGGGAGAGAGCATAAAAGAAAATGTAACAGTAGTTTTTTAACAACTGGTGAATCTGGGTGGCGGGTTCAAGGTACTACTTTTGCAACATTTTTGTAAGTCCGAAATTATTTCAAATATGCAGTTTTTGAAACCTTAAATAAAAAGCTTCTTCCTTGGTAAGGCTGGGACAAGGGGGCCACTCTTCCGCTGAGATTTTTGCTCCAAGGGAAGTTGCTGGAAATCAAAACGTTTTCAAACATATATATATAATTACCAATAAATTACCAGTAATTATTGCTAAGTGTCAGCCCCCTGAGAACAAGGCTAGGGGGAATTCCACTTGCATTTCTATTTGGAAGGCTCAAATCATTCCTTTGCGAGGGGAAGCTCACACATACACACACACACACACACACACACACACACACACACACACACAGGCTCTGAGGCTGGTAGACAGGCTTGGAATTCCAGCTCTGCATCATTTGGGTAAATTCCTGAACTCATATCCTCCCTTTCCTAAGACAGGGATGATGGTGGCACACATTCACTGAGGACCTACTGTGGGCCAGGTGCTGTTCTAACACTTCATAGGTGTTTTCTCTCACTCAAGCCCCACAACTACCCCATGAAGTTGTCACTATGGTTACCATCGCCATCTCTATTTTACGGATGAAGGAACTGAGGCTAAGAAAGGTTGGGTGACCTGCTCAAGGCCATGGAGGAAGAAAGTTACAAGCTTTGGATTTCTGTTTGTGGTTCTCAGCCTGCACTCTGAAACCTATGCAACACTGCCTCCTGGTTCTACTTCTCCTTTTGCAGGCTTGCAGCAAAGTTTAATGTAAAGAGAGCACTCCAAAGGTGCGTGTTAACAGCAGGCATCATTGGTGTGGTCATCAGTGAACGACTGGCTCTCTTTGCCTAGTTAGCTCTGTCTTGAAATGGGAATTTTTTGAATTGGTTTGAACCCTTAAGAACTAGTTTGACTTGGTTTGACCTTGGTCTTAGACATCACAGGGCTGAATGAAAAGATCAGGGGATGAAAAAGACAAGTGCCCAAGGCATTCCTATTATGCTGTCAGTATTAAAATGGTGGCATAGTCCAACGAACTTGTAGATCACCCCACAGCTCTCTTTTGGAAAAGGCTATCCCTTCCACGCTTCAGCAGCCTCAGACAGGCTGGCAGGCCCCTGGGGTTTCACATTCAAAGGACCACACACCCCACCCACCCACGGCGGGATCGAGTGGATAGAGACAAGCAGTGAGGAAACAGTGAAGGTTGTGTTCTGTGCTTGTGAAGTGATGGACACTCTACACAGATTAACTCACTCCTCAAAGAGCTCCGTGAAGTGCCGCAAGTATTATGAACCCATTTTACAGATAAGGCAAATGAGGCCTGAAAAGGTTATGTTATTTGCTGCCCACAGCAGTAAGGGGCTGAGTAGCTGTGGGAGCCCAGGCTATCTGGCTGGAGAAGCCACCCTATAACCCCAAACAAAGTCCTGCAAATAGCAAGTGGGACGTAGAGGAAACCAAAAAGGCATCTCTTTATTTCAAAGCCTTTTGTAGATAATTTCTTCAAAGTTCAGGATTCCAGGATTCTCATCACTTTATCTGCAATGATAATGACATTAAATGCATTACTGATTTTATGTCTATGCCTTTCTTGAAACACTTCAGAGAAATACATTCTCAAATCAGGAAAAAAAAAAAAAAAAAAAAAGAGGTTTTGGCAGATCATGCACCCCTCCAGTATGCTTTTGGCAAACAGAGTCACTGTAATTACCAGCAATCTTGTCTGAGGGTCCTGTCCTTAGCTAGTATGGATATGAGATGCAGAAGTGGAGACAGGGGCCCCTGGGTGTGGTCTCAGTCTGATTGACCTTGACTTTGACAAGGTGAACCCGGCCACCCCAAAGTCCCAGATTCCTGGCTCGCCACACAGTTCATCCAAACTCCATGCCAAAAAGCACATTGGTTGTGCTTTTTGCAACTTGTACCACCACACAAGTTGATTGCCTTGTGTGGGGTTCGAGACGGTTTTAGATACCACCAGGAATCGCTGTGCCATTGTTCTTTCTTTTCTTAGGAAAATTATGCCAATGAAAGCAACACCATTCACTCATCTATTTATTGCCTTTGTGTCCAAAGACAAACACAAATTAAGTCAAACTGAACAGTCCTGGCAGCAGTTCTGGGAAGTTAAGGATTCTCAGATAGTTCTAATTCTATGCAGTTTGAAAACAGATACAGATGCTCCTTTAAAACAGACACAGATGCTTCTTACAATGGAGTTATGTACTGATAAGTCCCCTGTAAGCTGAAAATATCTTAAGTCAAACTGCATTGAACACAGTTAACCTACCGAACAGCATAGCTTAGCCGAGCCTACCTTAAATGTGCTCAGAACACACATTAGCCTAGAGTTGGGCAAAGTCATCTAACACAAAGCCCATTTTATAATAAAATATTGAATGTCTCGTGTAATTGATTGATTACCATACTGAAAGTGAAAAACAGAATGGTTCGATGGGAACTTGAAGTACAGTTTCTACTGCATGCATGTCGCTTCTGCACCAGCGTAAAGTCTAACAATCATAAGTTGACCATCGTAAGTCGGGGCCCATCTACACATACGTGGATATAAAATATCCAGTGTTTACTGACCACCTACTATTCCTTAGGGCTGCTCCCACAGCTCTGCACTTATGATTTCAGTTACGCCCCCCAAAAGCATGAAGTAGCCCCATTTTACAGATGAGAAAACTGAGGCTCAGCGATAGGAAGAAATTAACCCCAGTGTCGCCCAGCTGGGAGGTACAGAGCTGGGGTTTGCAGCCAGTCTGCTGGTTCAAGAGCTTCTGTCACATGCTGGTGTGGCAGGGAAAGGGTAGGGGCCATGAAAGAAGGAGCCAGGCAGGGGGAGGATGTAAGAAGCTCTCGGTCAGGTTCAGGAGCTGGGGCTGCTTCCTGGGGCAGGTCGTCCGTCGGGGTGAGAGGCGCTTACAGGGAGAAGGGGACAGGGGCAGGGGCCAGGATCAGGGCGGGGGTGCCACACTCACCTGCTTGTCGGCGCTGCTTGACGCACTGCCCACGGTTGGGGATGCCTTCGGCCACGTCACCTGGGCTCAGGATGTGGCACTCATAGCCCGAGGGACAGAGCAGCGGTTCGGCCCCATCCTCCGTGGTGCTGCATGCCTCTGCTGTGGGAGGGACACACGCTGGGGTCTAGAGGGCAGACCCCCAGGACGGGTGCAGGGAACGCAGCTCTCCCAGAGAGACGGCCTCGCCTCTGCACCCCAGGTTCTGGCTAGGCCCTGGGTCTCACTCAGCGGCATGTGGCACACGTGCACACCCACAAACATGCACACAAACACAGGCAGTCCAAGCTCACCCGATCCCAAACATACTCTCACAGGCTCAGCAGCATCCATGTAGACGTGTTCACCCATACACCCTGAAACACACACTTACCCCTACAGCTGCACGGGCACACACACATTTACACAAGCACGTCGGACACACAAATACACACAGACATATATACATGTTCATCCCCACACACAAATCCTGTACACACATATCCACACCCACGTACACACACGTTCACCCACACATGTACACACTCATAATACCGTCACACACTTTTGCAAGCGCGCACACACACACACACACACAAATATTCAGCCACAGCCACAAGGACAGCCACACAGTTGCACACACAGCTGCACACTCTGTGTCTAGCTGGACACAGTCACACAACACACAGATGGGTGTGGAGTCAGAAGCACAGCCACAGGTGTGCAAGGGTGCCCGCTCTCACCTCCTAGGCCTCCAGGCCCCTGGCCTGTAGGCTCTTCCTTCCAGAAACTGCCCTCTGCCTCCTGGTACCTCCCCCACCCCCAGGGAGGCCTCATCATTAGACAGCCATGAACCCCCTATAATTCTAGGAATTTGAAAACCAACCCTAAATGCCCTCCCCTTCAATTCGCCATCCAGGAGGAGGCCTCATTCTTGGGGAGAGTTGAAGCCCTTATTCTATCCTGGGCTTTGATTCTGGCCGAGCCCCCAGTCATCAGCCCTTCTGCACTGGGGTGGGGAGGATCAAAGATGGCTGAGTGTTTGGCTGAAGGGCCCATGCATGGGGGACGGCCAGCCTGGTGCTGCCAGCTTTCTGGAAGCAGTTGAGAAGGAGGGATCCAGGCTCGGACATAGGGTCTGGGCTTTACCCGGCAGGTACCTTGCAACACCTCCTCAGGGCCATCCAGGAGCCAGCCATTGCCACCAAGCCATCGAGGTTTCGGCTGCACCAGCCAGTCTAAGACTAACACAATACAGGGTCAGATCAAGGCCCTCCTCAGGCAGCTGAGAAATGCCCAGGCTTGGAGGGTGGGGGTGCCCCCATTTCATGATAGCACAGTCTCCCCGTGGGAGAAATAACCATGGTTCCTGGCACACCTTCATCCCTTGCTTTTAGTGATAGAACCTTTCACTGTGGGCTGGGCACTGGGCCTCCAAGCTGGGGACTAGCCTTCCCTGCCTCCCTTGCAGCTATGTGTGGCCACATCACAGGATTCTGACCACAAGAATGTGAGCAACGGTGACCATGCAACTTCCTGTCTTGCCCTCTGATTGGGGGCTCTCGGCTCCCCTCCCTCCCTCCCTCTTTTCCTTCCTGCAGGCTGGGAGCCATTCTGACCACGTGGACAAGGCCATCACTCAGACTGCAGAGTGGTAAGAAGGAAGGAAGCCAGGTCCCTAGATGGCTTTGCGAGCAAAGCTACCTACCTGCTGCAGTGTCGACCTCCACACTAACAGCTGAGAGAAGCAAATGCCTCACATGCTGGGTCTCTGTATTTATGGGTCTTTTTGTTGCAGCAGCTCAGCCTGTTCTCTAACTAATACTTTATTTTTTTAACTTTTAGGTTCAGGGGTACACGTGCAGGTTTGTTGCACAGGTAAATTTCACATCGCTGAAGTTTGGTGTATGGGTGAAGTTTGGTGCACAGGTGATCCCGTTACCCAGGTATAACCAATACATTTTTAACAGAAAGAGTCACCCACACAGTTTATGGGAAGGCCTTCAAAAGGCAGGGGTCGAAAAGTCAAATGCCTCTAGGGGACAGGTAGATGACATTCAACAGGAAAGCAGATCAGGTAGGGTCATGGCACAGCAGAGAGTGCCTCCTGCCTGGATGAATCAGCTGCTGGTTAGCCCTGACCAGTCATTTCCAGTGCTCCCAGACTGGTTTCTTTTTCTTTTTTTTTTTCCTTACTGTAAGTTCTTATTCTATTTATTTATTTACCTATTATTTATTTATTTATTTATTTATTTATTTAGAGATAGAGTCTCGCTCTGTCACCCAGGCTGGAGGGTAGTGGCACGATCTCAGCTTATTGCAACCTCCGCCTCCCGGGTTCAAGCAGTTCTCCTGTCTCAGTCTCCCAAGTAGCTGGGATTACAAGCATACGCCACCATGCCCAGCTAATTTTTGTATTTTTAGCAGAGATGGGGTTTTGCCATGTTGCCCACGCTGGTCTCGAACTCCTGGCCTCAAGTGTTCCACCCCCTTCGGCCTCCCAAAGTGCTGGGATAAGAGGAGTGAGCCACTGCACCCAGACTGTAAGTCTGGTTTATTTATTTTTTTTTTTTGAGACAAAGTTTCACTGTTGTCACCCAGGCTGGAGTGCAATCGTGCAATCTCGGCTCATTGCAACCTCTGCCTCCCAGGTTCAAGCGATTCTCCTGTCTCAGTCTCCCAAGTAGCTGGGATTACAGGCGTGCACCACCATGCCCAGCTAATTTTTGTATTTTTAGTAGAGATGGGGTTTTGCCCTGTTGGCCAGGGTGGTCTAAAACTCCTGACCTCAGGTGATCCACCCACCTCAGCCTCCCAAAGTGCTGGAATTACAGGCGTGAGCCACCACGCCCGGCCAAGTCTGTATTTTTTAAAATAGAAATCTTCTGGCTTTTAAGTGTTGACAAGTAATTTTAAAACTTTTTTATTAATGATGATTATTATTACTATTCTGTAGAGATAGGGCGTCTCCCTATGTTGCCCAGGCTGGTCCCGAACTCCTGGCCTCGCACGATCCTCCTGCTTTGGCTTCCCAAAGTGCTAGGATTACAGGTGTGAGCCACCATGCCTGGGCAGAAAACTGTAAGCATGTTGGAGATCAAAACGGCTCTGGGATCACATTTGCTTGTGACCTCTGCATTCGTTTGACTCCAAAATAAGACAAAAATAAAATTACTAATATTTATCTTGATAAAGAGAAGAGAAAAATGATTATCTAGCATCTTTGAAAGTACATTGATGGGTACTGGTAAAAATGCTGGTTAGCTTTTTCTGTAAAGGAGCACTCGCTGATTATAATGACAGTGGAAGTTGGAAGAGCGGAGAAAGGAGCCAGCAGTCTGTGACCTCCGAAACGCGAATGACATGATGGTTCTGCGGCCTCTATGCCCAACCTTTCGGTTCTTCCCTCCTTCCCCCCACCACATCGGACCATGTGTTAGGAAACATTTTCAGGTAAGAAACGCAGTAATATGTGCTGTTTGTATTCTCTTTTGCCTTGATCAAAGGCTTCTGAGCAGCAGGGAAATAAGCAAATGTTTATAGCGAAACTTGGTCCAGGCTCCCCATCGCTCTAGTTGAAGACCCTTAAAGGCCTGGTGGCCCCGGGGTCTCAGCTCTTCATGCCCTCACTGGAACTACCTGGGATCACCTCCCAAATAAATGACCTGGGCCTAAGTCCTTGTCTCTGGGTCTGCTTTGGATGGACCCAAATCCAGATGGCAGTGAAGTAGTAAGGTGCCTGGAATACGGCCTGATGTGTTCCACGTCATCTTATGTTAGACCAGTGGTTCTCAATGCAGAGCAATTTTGTTCCCCAGGAGGCATTTAGGAAAGAGTAGAGACAGTTTTGCTTGTCTGGCATCTAGTGGGGAGGGGCCAGGGAAGCCGCTGACCATCCTACAGTGTACAGGACAGTGCCCCCTCCCCTGCCCAGCAAGTAGAATCATCCAACCCCAAATGTCAATATGCCAAGATTGTGAAATCTGGCGTTAGACAGCGTTGTTGTTATTACCAACTAGTGGTACGATTGCTTTTCCTGCTGGCCAGTGAATGAATGAATGAGTCAATATTTATTGAGTATTATGTGCCCGGAGACCATTTTAGACGCTGGGGTTACAGCAGTGAATGAAACAGACAAACTCCCTGCCCTGTGGGGCTGACCTTCAAGTGGGGAGAAAACGGTCAATGAACAAACCAGTAAAACACAGTCTTCCAGATTATGCTACAGAGAACAATTAAACAGCGACGGAGGGTGAAAACATGGCCAAGGAGGGGCTGTCATTTAGAGAGGGAAATCTCTCCTGAGACGCGGCCTTTGGAAATAGATAAAGGAGGCAAGGAAGTGAGCCATGGGGTGTCTGGAGGAGGACAGTCCTGGTAATGAAGGACCCCACATGTGGGCCCAGGTGCCAGGGCAGGGGCCCCACATTCCCACACTCATGGCCTAAGGCAATGAACACTTCTCTACAGTCAAACAACTGGATAGAAACTGCAGTTCTGCCTGCTGTGTGACCTTGGGCAAATGATTCAACTTCTCTGAGCTTCAGTTGTGGCATAGGGCTGATAACAGTCATCTCATCACGCTGTGTGAGCATGAATTGAGATGATGCATGAAAAGGCTATTGGGAAAGCCATGTACAGTTGTGTCACCTGTGCACTGCTCAAAAGCACCTGGTCTAGGCAGGAAGCAAGGCTAGAATCCCTATGCCAGGTCACATTCCAGAGGAAGGGGCACCCACCCAGAGGGGAGTGCCTTTATGTGCTTGTCCACCATAAGGCACAACATTTCTTATGAAGGCTGAGTAGGAGGCTGCCTGGCCTGGAGCAGTGGCCAGGTCCTGCCCAGAGGCAGTACTGAAACAGTCCCTGTCTGTTTTGATGAGCATCATAAGACTGTAATTATGAGCATGATTAAGTGTGCTGAGTCCCCTGTCATCGCTGTGACCTCACCCCAAAGGAAACAAAGTGAGGTCATTCTTGCCATCTCCAACTCTCCTTTCGGCCTTGGGAGGAGGGGCTGGGCCACCTTCTCGAGCCGACTTCTCTAATTAAGGCCCATGGGAACCCACAGCCTCTCACCCAAGGTACAGTTCGAACAGCTGTTGTTATCACCCTGAGCAGAGCTGAGGGTGGAGAAAACTTCCTTGCCCCAAATCCTACCCACTTAGGGGCACATTTTCCCCACCCAAGGGCACATTTTCCCCAGGAAATAGCTACTTGTCCACCCTACCCCCCACTTACTGTCCCCCATAGGGTCACCTCCTTCCCTTCCCAAACCTTCTCTCCAAAAGAGATCTGAAACTCCGTCCTGCCAATGACGAATCCCTGAACATTGTTTCTCCCCAAGAGGTTGGTGTCCTGATTCAACACACATCTCATTATCTGCTCCCAGCCCCGCGCAGCGCTGAGCACTTCCAAGTGGCAGCTCCACTGTGAGCTGCACGTTGTCCCTTCCCTTTCCTTCCCTTTTTCTTTTTTCTTTTCTTTTCTTTCCTTTTTTTTTTTTTTTTTTTTGAGACAGAGTCTCACTCTGTCATCTAGGCTGGAGTGCAATGGCACAATCTCGGCTCATTGCAACCTCCGCCTCCTGGGTTCAAGTGATTCTCCTGCCTCAGTCTCCCAAGTAGCTGGAATTATAGGCTCCTGACACCACGCCCAGCTAATTTTTGTATTTTTAGTAGAGACGGGGTTTCACCATGTTGCCCAGTCTGGTCTTGAACTCCTGAACTCAGGTGATCCACCCGTTTCACAGGAGAGGAGACTTAAGAAAGTGACAACTGGCCAGTGGATCTGAAGCCAAGCACCCGCTCCTCTCTGGCGCACACCCCGTCTGGATTGCTAAGCACCCGGTCTCCACCTCAAATACCCCAGGGCCAGGCGTGAGAAGTGTGGCAGGCCTGGTGGGGTGAGTGGGAAGCTAGAGGACACTCCTCATCCAGGGGCACCTGAGGTTCCAGCTGGTGGCAGCTGGTATTTTAAGGAAAAGCCTCGAATTTGGATGTTTTAAATGAGAAATCCCACTGCACCCCCATCCTCCTATCAGCGGGCATTTTCCCGGGAATGGGTGTCGGCTGGACTGTGGCTCCCTGGAGGCATCCGGGGTCCCTGACCCCACCCCATTTTCACAGGAAGTGGCATTTTCTCCAGAAGGGCGTCTCCCACAACGCGGGTCCCCAAGGGCAGTGGGACACACAGCCGGTGCACAGCAGCGTCACACCTGCTCAAGGAGCGCCCATCCCAGTTCACAGGTGTGCAGTGGAGGCGTCACGGACCCACCCAGGTGGCCCAGCTTAAACCCAGTTCCTTTTTCCTCTCCCCAGAGTCAGGCTCTCTCCCACCCGGGACAGCTCTGTTTACCTGTTCTCCCTCAGGCCCCTCCCTCGGGCCCAGGACCTACCTGGCGGGGGCGGCACGGCCTCCAGGCAGGCGTAGGCACATCCGTTGTAGCAGCAGCGCCGGTGCCGCGGGCACTCCGAGTCAGCCTGGCAGCGCACGGCCTGGCAGGCGCCGGGGGGCATCGTCCGCGGGGGCGGCGGGCAGCGGTCGGCTCGGGGCTGCCGGGAGCCGCCGGGCGCGCCCGCCTCCTCGGTCTGCGGGGAGAGGGCGGTGTCAGCAACTCTGGGAGAGTCCCGGCCCGCCGGGAGCGTGCACGGGAAGGGCCAGTGCGCCCCGGTGAGAAACAGCAGGCAGGCAGAGCCAGACTCCGAGGGCGGCTCAGAGGGTCAGAGAAAACCATGTTTCTCTTTATAACAGCCGGCAAGAAATAACTGAAAGCCCAGAGCAAAAGGATAAGCGAATCTTGGTATGTTTGCTGGAGGACAATTACTTAAGTATCTGCCCTGTGTGAGAGATAGATTATATATAATACATAATAGATATGGTATATGTGTATACACATATGTATACATATGCATGCATGTATGCACATGCATGCAGACATATATGTCTCTATATACATATGTATATGTACATATGTGTGGATTTCTTATAATCCATACGTTTATATAGGGCTTTGAGAATTTACAAATTATACGCAGAATGATTAAATCCATGCAACAACTTCGTACATCTCAGAAAATAATGAAAAGAAAAAAGCCAGATCAAAAGAGAACACCACAGTGGGATTCCACTTATATTTATAGCTCAAAAACAGGCCAAGATGATGTCTGGCATAAGAAGTCAGGAGGAATCTGGTGGACAGTGACTGGCTGGGAACACGTGGTCTAGGGGCTGGCTCTGTTCTATTTCTTGGCCTGGGGGCTGGTTACATGGTGTGTTTATTTTATGGGAATTCGTGGAGCTGAACACCTAGGATTCATGTGCTTTGAAGTATTATTTTTGTTTGTTTCTTTTGTTTTTGAGATGGAGTTTCACTCTTGTTGCCCAGGCTGGAGTGTAATGGCGTGATCTCGGTTCACCACAACCTCCACCTCCCAGGTTCAAGCGATTCTGCTGCCTCAGCCTCCTGAGTAGCTGGGATTACAGGCATGCGCCACCACAACCGGCTAATTTTGTATTTTTAGTAGAGACAGGGTTTCTGTATGTTGGTCAGCCTGGTCTTGACCTCCTGACCTCAGGTAATCCACCCACTTTGGCTTCCCAAAGTGCTGGGATTACAGGTTTGAGCCACCACGCCCAGCCTGAAGTATTATGTTGTAATAAAAAGTTCAAAAATAAGATATAGCGGCCAGGCACTGTGGCACACATGCCTATAATCCCAGCACTTTCGGAGGTCGAGGTGGGTGAATCTCTTGAGCTCAGAAGTTTGAGACCAGCCTGGCCAACATAGTGAAACCCTTTCTCTACTAAAAAAAAACAAACAAAAATTAGTCGTGACGTGCTCATTCACTCCTGTAGTCCCAGGTACTTGGGAGGCTGAGGCGGGAGGATGGCTTGATCCCAGGAGGTCAAGGCTGCAGTGAGCTGTGATCGAACCACTGCACTCCAGCCTGGGCAATAGAACGAGACCCTGTCTCAAAAAAAAAAAATTAAAAAAAAAAAAGAAAAAAGAAAAAGAAAAAAAGATATAGTACTGTACTTAACATATAGGAATATGGGTGAGTGACCAATAAGATCAATATTTTAAAGGTAAGACTGAGAAAGTTTAAGTAACCAGGCAAACTGCCCTGGGTCCCCTGACACCAGACCCCATCTACGCCAGTAACACTGTTCTGCTTCTGTGAAAATGGGGTGTGTGGTGGGCAGGTTGTGCACATTTGCACACACACACAGAGTTAGATACAGGATAGATTACTTGGAAAAAAACTACCTTGGCTTGCCCTGCCCCCTGGCCTCTGCCTAAACTGTTCCCTTCATCTAAAATGCTTCACCTACTTAACTCCCCACAAGTCCTCCCCCAACATATTCAAAATCTGACCTGCTTGTGCTGGCCAAGTACATAGGGCATATCTACAAATTAGAATAGTATACAGCCATGAAAACCTGTCCTTAAGGTGTTGGAAAAAAAGAAGTAAGACTCAATGTGCCACATATGAAAGATTGCCAGGATGTGGTGGCTGGTGAAGAAAGCCATGGTTCGGAACAGCGTGTAGGTTCTGCCCCATCTGTGTTTTTAAAAATGCACACAGATGTAATATTTGCATAGGCTTAGAACGTTTTTGGAAGGATACACAAGATCACACAAGAAACCATTATGAAAGCTGCCTCTGGAGAGAAGAATAGGGTGTAACACTGAGAGAGATTTCTTCCTATTGTACACTCTTCTGCACTGGTTCAATGTCTTTTTACCATGTACACATTACTTTTTGAATTTAAAGATGTACAGAGTGAGGGCACATCGTCCAAGCCCCTGCTCAATCTAGACTTGACTCACAGAACCTCACAAAGCTACTGAAGCTGCTTTGATGGCAGTGTGGGCGCCATCACCTCCAGGCCTTTGCCCAGGCTGTGTCCTCTGCCGAATACCCATTCCTTCAGGTCTTCAGAGGGACCATTCCCCCAGACTCAAATCAGTGCTCATAGCTGGGATGTGCTTCCTTAACACCAGCCCTCCCAGGCCAGGGGTAGAGCCACGCCCCTCCCCTCCCCCTCCCCCCCACTTCTGTGTCCCACACCCGCCCTCCCTTGTCACTCTTGCTCCGTAACCGGTGAGTGACTCCCTCAAGGGAGGTCCTCGAGTCTCCTGTGTCTCCTCATGCACATACAGTTGGCTGAATAAAGGTCCCCAAAGACACCAGGCCCTACTCCCTGGAATCCTAAATGCAAAGGAAAAAGGGTCTTTGCAGACGTGATTAGGTTAAGGAGCTTGACACAGGGAGATAATCCTGCATTTTCCGGGTGGGTCCTAAATCCCATCACAAGTGTCTGAGAAGAGGGGAGCAGAGGGAGATTACACACACACGCACACACACACACATGCACGCACACGCATGCACACACGCACATGCACATGCATGCACACATGCACACACATGCACACAAGAAAGTCATATGAAGAGGGAGGCAGAGATGGCGTCTACAGACCAAGGAATGACCATGATTGCTAGCAACCACTGGAAGACAGATTGGCAAGGAAGGAACCCCCGGCGTGGGGGGCGCGGCTCTGCTGACCCCTTGATCTCAGTCCAGTGAAACTGATGCTGAACTTCTGGCCCCTGGAACCATGAGACAATTCATTTCTGTTGGTTTAACCGCCCCTCCCACCCCAGTTTGTGGTCATTTGTAACGGCGGCCCCTGGAAACTTGGTATCTCTCCCGCTGCCTGGCACATTCTGTAAATGAATGCCACCCCAGGCCCAAGTTCCCATCAGTGCCTCCACAGTGGCCTCATCCCTGGCTCGCTGCTTCCAAATCCATCCATTCTCCAAACTGCAGCCCAAAGAGACTTTATGAAAGGCACCTGTGGATTCGGTCACCTCTGTGCTCCAAGCCCCCAGAGGCGTCCCAGCACTCTCGGGACAAAGTCCCAGCTCCCCACTCAACCTCCAAGCCCTGTGCCAACCAGGTACATGCTACTTTTTCAATTTAATAACTTAGATATAGGATATATTGGCCTCATCTCATCGCCCCGACCCTCCTGTCCTTATATGCCAGCAAACTGCCCTTCCTCCTCCCCACGCCCTCCAAGCACACTCCTCTCTTCAAACTGTTTCCTCCGACTGAGCTAGTCTCATCCAGCAGAGCAGAGGGGCAACCAGAGTGGGCTCTGCAGCCAAGAGGTTTGGTTCAAATCCTGGTTCTAGGGCTTAAATCCTTTCTGCCCTCACTTGCTGTGTGACTGTGGGCAAGCCTCAGTTTCCCCCTATAGAACTTCCCTCCTGGGGTACCCTGAGTCTACACCCAGGATGGCGTCTATGCCCAGGATGACATCTACACCAAGGATGGTGTCTATACCCAGGCTGGCGTCTAGCACAGTGCCACTGATCTTCATTACCACATGCCGGTCCTCTGCCTGGAAGGCTTCCCATCCGCTTCTATTGGCCAAACCACCCTTCCATCCTCAGTTTAAATGGCCTTCTGAGGGCAGCTTTCCCCAGACTCGTCGGGATGTTTCTAGTATGGTCCTTCTTCATTTTTAGGGCCTCGCCACCCCACACTGAGAGCAGAGGCTCTGTCTCTCCCTGCCTGGCTGGGGCGGAGCGCAGTCCTGCGTCCCTATCTGGGTAGCTGCAAACTGCACGCGGTGCCACCAATGCCCTGCAGGGGGCACCAGGTCCCCGGGAACGGGTCCTGGCCGGGTGCCCCTGGGAACCGGTGGGATCACCAAGGCCAGAGGTTTTCAGCTGCCCCCAGGGAGCCTCAGGGCCTGAGACTGAGGGCATGAGGGGTGGAGAGCAGGAATGGCCAAGCAGGAGGGGGGCCTGTGCGGCAGGAAAGCCTGGGGAGGGGGGGCCATGACCCCCATCCCTGCTTCACCCAGAGAACCCTTCTTTTCACTCTTGTAGACATTGGCTGTTAAATTCACAAAAAGTGAAGATGACCACTAAGCTGGCATTTGGTGGATATGGAGACGAAGCCTTAAGGAGGTGAGTGGTTTTCCCCAAAGACAGAAGGGAGGCCAGAGCGTGGATCAGTCCTTTTATCACCCCCTTCTCCATCCAATCTCCCTCACCCCTGTAACCATCACTAATAACTTTCCAGCCACAGCAGGTGTATGATCCCATGCCATTAGCTCTTAGTTCACTCGCTGCAGAATTAACTAAATTGGACCCATGATGGGGTCCGCTATTTTTAATCCTCATCTAACATGACAGCCACCCCAGCCTCCTTCGGAGGGTGGTTAAGAATGCACCGTACGTCGTCGGGAGGGAGCAGCTTATTTTTCTGCCCAGCTTATTTTTCCATCAAGCCTCATTTATGAAATTTAATGGAACTGGGTGATCAGAAGCAAAACACTTTTCAGCCACCTCAAATGCCTCCCAGTCCCGTGACTTCCTTAATGGCAGCCCCAGACGGGAGGGTACGCCGAGATCAATTTTAGATGTGCCGCTGTCTCAGAGGAAAATTCAAAGGTCGCTTCTCAGAATTTGGAGAGAACAAAGACATAAGCGCCTTAGAAGCCCCATCTCCCGAGTTATTTACTGCGTGGCTGAAACAACAGATGGTCGTGAGTGATAAAGCACTGATTTCA